AAAGAAAAGAAAAGAAAAGAAAAGAAAAGAAAAGAAAAGAAAAGAAAAAGGATTGAGGAGAGAAAGCACAGACACAGAGAAGAGCAAAGACTGGACAGCAGTCAGGGCTGGGGGCGGTGGGAGGGCAGGCAGCAAAACCCAGGCTGACTTGGGTAGCGGGAGAGAAACAGAAGCTGGAAAACGGGCCCCAGCTCAGCCCCAGCCCTGGGCCCCACCCCCACCACTCCTTACCTCCTCCTCGGCCTCCATTCTCTTCCTCCTGCAGGGGACAGAGAGGTGGGTGTGGGGCCTGGGTCCAGCCCTCAGTGGCTCCACCTGGGCGGGCCCTTCGATGTCCCCCACCCAAGGCCTCCCCTCTTATCTTCCTTCAACTAGCCTGGTGCCCAGCCGAGGCAGGAGGGGTGTCAGTGGGGACGGTCATCAAGCCCCATGCAATGGTCCCCAATAACACTAACCCCCTCTCATGACTGCTGATCCCACCACCTTGTATTTCAGCCATTCGCCCCCAATCCAGTGGGGGACCCATGACCCCTTCCTTTGGGGAGCTCCAAGCCCGATGAAGGAGGCACTAAACGTAACGCACAGAGAGAGGACACACAGGCAGACACAGATAAGCAGGCATGACGAGTGCAAACAGTGGCTATCAGCTCTCAGAGAATGGGAAGGGAAGGCTGATTAGCACCCCTCTGGGGGAGGGGATTTTAAGGCAAGTTTGAGGAGGGAGGGGAGAGGGAGGTCTGGGTGAGGGGAGGGGAGTACGCAGGCGCTGGGCAGCAGAAATAAACAAGCATTTGTAGGACAGCATCAGCTGAGCCGACGCGAGAAAGAAAGCAACGCCAGCAAGTGACAGAAGTCAGACTAAAGCATTCAGCTTTGAAAGGACAGAAAGAGGGAGCCAGTGAGGGTTCTTGGGTGGGAGAGAGTGGATGTGACATACCAGTGAGGGAACAGGGTTCTAGCATCCGGCAGGGCTAAGAAATGGAGTCCAGGAGACCCACTAGGGAGACCTCTGGGGTCATCCTGGTAGTGAGAGGGAGGGTGCTGGATCTGGGGAGGGAACTGGAATGAGGGAAAGGAGGCCAGCGAGACAGGGTCCCACGTCAGAGCTGGATCCGACATTTAGCATCATCGTATCTACCCCTGTCCACAGACCATCCATTCTACCACAGATGACAGGGCGTGACTTATCCAGGGCCACTCCGAGCCAGGGCTGGAACCCAGGAGTCTCTGGCACCCCAGCCAGGACATGAAGGCTGTGGGGCACTGCTGGAGAGCAGTCCCTCTGCCCCTGCCCTCCCTGTGTGGGGTGCGCGCCTGCTGATGTGAGCTGATAGCACAGTGAGCGGGTGGCAAAGGCAGATGGATGCATTTAGACGGCTGAGCTCCCTGCAGGCTCCCAGCCCTGGGCAGGTTCTGGAAAGGGGATGGAATCCACCCCTGGCTTGCCCCGCCCAGGGTCTTCCAGCGCCCCACGTGAGCGAGGTCTCTCTGAAACAGGTCTATCACCCAGCCTAGGCCACTCAGGCTGCTTCCGCCCCGGTCACCCCTCAGCAGGGCCCCCTGAGAAAAGGGGGCAGGGGCCAGGCAGGAGGGACATTCTGGGGGAAGAGGAAAGGAAGGACTGGAGGTTCCAGGGAACTAGAAGGTTGGTGTCCTTGGGCATCAAGGGGCAGGGGGCTGTGCCCCTCTCACACACCGTCAGCCCCCACTTACACTCTTAAGCACGGCTGCAGCCAATGGGAATAGTTTACGCAGGTGCTCCCGGATTGAGACACGGATGAGAGCGCACAGGGACACATACTGAAGACGTGTATTTAGAGACACCTGTCTACCCACGCCTACATACACAAACATGCATGCGTATGACCCACATACTGGGCACCCAAGTGCACACAAAGAGAGCCATGCAAGTACACAGACACAGGCAGTGAAACCCAAGGCCCCGGTTCTCTGGCAGGTGGGACCAAGCTCCCCAGAGGAGAGCCCCAAACAGCTGGTCTCAGCCCTGAAGGAGGGGGCGGGGGGAGTAACAGGTTCATTGACTCCAAAATAAGTCTGTCTCAGGCCCTGCTGGGAAAGAGGTGGGGGAAGGGAGGGGGGCCCTCCTGGGGAGCCCCAGTTCCTGCCGAGGATCTCGCTCTTCCCGCATGCCTGGCCCGCCCCCAGCCCACACTGTAGGTTAGGCACAGAGAACCTGACATTCATACTATGGCCAGAAGGGCTCGTGGGGGTCAAGTACATAGACGCCCTCACATTACAGCAGGAGAAGTGACCAGTGAGTGAGACCAAAGTAAAGAGCTCCACTAGGATTAGAACCCAGGGCGCCCCCCTCCCGGCCTGGCGCTCTCCAGCACCCAGAGCCCAGAGCCGAGGCGAGTGCAGGGCCCGGGGCACTCTGGGAGGAGTCCCAGAGGTGTTTTAGGATGGACTGCCCAAGAGCTCAGGCTAGGGAGGGAGCAACAAAGCCAGCTCAGAAGTGGCCACAGGACAAGGAGTCCCAAGAACTTCACCTCTTCGAGAAGGCGGCTCAGTTTTCAGGGGCCAAGAGTCTGGGTGTGCGCGTGAGCGTCCTGGCTTCCCCCACCCCCAAGTTCATCGCCCTGAACCGTTCACCCTTCTCCTGGGAAGACCAAACCCAGGGCAGTTAGGGATCTCTTCCACAATCGTACAGTGCCAGTGACCCAGCCAGGGCTGCCCCGGCCTCTCAGGGACCCTCCTCCCAAGGCCAAGGAAGAAGGGCTGTGGAGGGGACAGTGCAGACGAACCTCCCTTCCCCCCACTGAAGCTTCCTCAGGACGGGCAAGGGCAGCGGGCAAGGTGGGTGTACCTTCAGGCTGCAGTGCACGGCTGACTCAGGGGGGTACACAATGAAGTGGCGCAGGGTGAAGCCAAAGCCGTCCTGGAGACTTTTGCACAGCAGCAGTGTCCGCGGCCCCTGCCAGGGGAGGGGGCGCCCAGGGGAGCACCCATCTCTCGGGCCCAGCGGCAGCTGTGGAAGCACAGGGAACCAGGGTTGAGTGGCCGTGTGACCCACACTCCCAGGTGTGCACACTGCCTCCGGCAGCCAGGGGGAGGGCCTGGAGCGGGGGAGGGGGAGGGGGGCAAGGGCCCTGGGGTTCCACGCACGCGCCCCTGCTCCCCGACCTCCTCCTCACCCCCTTCCTTCCTCTCCCTCGCTCATCAGTCCAAAGCTACTTCTTTCTCTCCCCTCGAGCCCCTCATGGCACCTTTGCTCCCAGGGAAGTAACTCCCTGCCGCCAGCCAGGTTCTCAATCAGGTCGGCTCAGCAAATGTTCGCCAAGCACCTCTTACGCTCCAGGATCTGGACACGGGGCCTTCTGGCCTGGGAAGTGCCTGCTGCCAGCTGAGCTCATTCCTGCCTGCTGCACAATCTCACACACAGACAGACACATCCGCACACCCAGAGAAGCACACTCACGTGCAAAGGTACACACGGAGGCACAGATGAATCTACACACACAGGCTATGTAGACAAACACGTGCGCACACGATCGCACGTGATCAGAGTCTCCCACACATGCCTACACATACAGGCACACGCACACAACATATGCTGCAGACAGACACCCACACGCACGCACACAGACTGGCTCGCACAAGCATCCTTCAGGAGCAGCGGCAGCAACAGGTGAGGGACTAGAGCCACGAGGGAGCGGGCTGGACATCAGACAACTGAAGGGACTTCCTGGAGCTCCGGAGCCCAGCCAGAGGCCTGGCCGGTCACCGGATCTGAGAGGGGAACCGGGTGGGGGTGGCGGGAGATACTCGGCTGCCCTCTGGCCGACCCGCTGGAATACTTGGGATTCCCCAAGATGACAGGCAGGGGATGTCTGAAGACCAGGGTCTGAGGGCACACAGGTCTGTTTCTGGGGCGGGAGAGAGAGTAGCGCGGACACTGCCTGAGAGAGGGCTCACCTCAGGTTCCCTGCTCAGACGCAGAGAGGGAAAGCGGGTGACAGAAGGGCGTCAGAGAGATGCCTGTGTGCACAGGGAGGCGGCCGGCAGATTGGCCAAGACGGAAGACAAGGGCGGGCTGCCTGGTGAAAAGCCAGGATGCCTCCCTCGGGGCTTTAACCCCCGACCTCAGGCATCCTAACCTGTCTGGGGGGCCCTAATCCAAACCTCAGAGGGCTCACCCTCACCCTCAACAGTCTCCTCAACCCCCTCGCTCCTTGGCACGAGCCCGGAGTCTCCAGGGGAAGAAAGGCAGGCTGGATGTGGACGGAGGAAGCCCCAGTTCTGGGGTGAGGGCCTCCCCCCTTCTCTATTAAGTTCCCCTTTCTCCCTCGCCCAACTGCTTTTGAGAAAGCTCAAATTGGCACTTGGATGTACTGATGCTAAGAAGCTCCTTTGTGTATCCACCCCCCCAGCCCCCCCCCCCACCCCGCCGCCAGCCTGTTCACATTTCTGGTAGAAGAGAGCCCTGGGTCCAGCCCTTCGCTGGGGATTTCTGTATTGGGGTGGGAGGTGGGGTTGTAGTCAGGCAGACTTGAGACTCAAATTTCAGAAGACTAAAGAACAATATGACAGGGGCAGTAGGCTTGCTTCGTGAAGTCCCAGAGAACACAGCCAAGGTGGAAGGTACAGGGAACAAGTGAAGCTCCAGGCCAGGGAGACCATTCTCATCATCTCCGTCTGGAAAACTACCAGCTGAGGACGTGAGCGCTCATTCTCCTGAAGGGTTCAAGCCAAAGCTGGATGATCCCCAGTCTGGGAGGCCGCGGCTGAGATTCCAGCATGGGGCAGGAGGTCCAGCGATGGCCCCTCGGCTCCTTCCACTTGTAGCCCCAGCCCAGCCTGTCCACTGAGCTCCACACCCCCATGGGGGTCCGAAGAGTCCAGAGGAGAAAATTCTCTGGGAATTCTGCTGAGGTCCGAAATCCCCTGGATTTCCTATCTCTGCTGACCTGGCAAGGAACTGATCAGGGAGAGCAGAGGGCCTGGCGGATCCCCCCTGCCTGCTCCTACCAGAAGCCCCTATGCCTCCCCAGCGTGGACTGCCTCCCCCTGCACGCCCTCCACCGGGGCTCAGAGCTGAGGCTGTTTGCAGGGCCCATTGTTTTGCCGGTGTCCTGGATTAAGGTTTAAGCCACCAGCTGCCCCAGTGACGAGAAGTGGCTGGGACAGGTCCCCGCACGCCCCCCACCCCTCCTCCAGCACACATCCTGCCTGGAGCTGCCAGCTGCCTGGGGTGCCACTCTCTAGGGGCCTGGATGTAACCCAGGGAAGCGGGCAGGCCTTCTTCTCTCAGGCCCCCTCCTGGCCCAAGCACCATTGGCACCCCCTCCCTTATCTCTGCCTCTCCCTTTCCTCTTATGCTTCCTTTCAGTCCCCCTTCCCCCATCTCTTCCAACCAGTTCCTGAGAATGTCAGTGTGGTAATCCCCCTGCCACAGCTCCCACACCCCGGCCTGAAGAGGAGACACCACGGCCCCCATGGACAGCCAGACCTGATGGCTCCCCTGTGGGAAGTTCTTCCTTGGATTTAACCTCAGTGCTTCATACTATTATTCACACATTTCCTCTCCTCCCCTCTGACCTGGGACACCCCTGGGTCTGGCTCTCATCTTTACAGGGAGGGAGATGATGGACACAGAAACAGAGAATGAGCCAGCAATGGGAACAGAAAGGTGACTAGATTGGGGAGGGGTTCAGCTCTCACACATCCACAACTCTGCCTCTCTGGGGTAGGCACAGAGACAAGGGGATGGAGAGGGAGACGCTCGGGGGACACAGGGACATCACTGATTACGGCTCTCCTGGCCCAGATCCATCTCCAAATGCTCTCGCCCTCATGCCAGGAACGAAAGAGACATCCAGAAATACCAACTGATGGTGGGAAGAGGGCAGATGGCCCCAGGGCCACAAATTAGACAGAACTGGACACGTGGTGGGTTGGCAACACCAGGAACCAGAACCCAGGAGTCCTGCTCCTCCCCCCTAGGAGCATAAAGAGGTCACTGCAGGGAGCACAGCATTCATGCTGGGCACGGCGCCCACTGTGACTCACGCCCTACCAGCCTGGTCGATCCCGGACATCAGACACACTGTCCCCACCCCCTATCTCCAGCCCTGTCAGTCCTCACCCTGAGATCACTCATTACCTGCCACCTCTGCCTCCTTTGCCCACCAGGAAACCCGTGCATGCCCCTGTGCCCACAGCCCCTACCAGGGAGAGGGCGGAGTGGTGCCCACCAGTCCACTTAGTATGATCCTTGCCTGCCTCCGACCCGGGGTCCTTGCCAGCCAAACTCCTCGGGATTCCATGCCCCGGCATCTCCTCAAACAACCCTGGTCCCTTCCGTCCTTCCACTGCCTATAAACCAAGAGGCTTGAGCCACTGGAGGCCACCACCCAGACTGGCCAGTCCTCATCCAGCACCCCGGGAAAAGCTCCCAGCCACAACCTGCCACCCTCACCCGCGTGTGTCTCCAGCTC